AGTTAGCTCTATGTGTAAAGAGAAATGGAGTGTAGACAATTCTATTTAGAATGGCTGACTGGTGGGTTGATTGGTTGTTATGGTGGCATTGCCTTGCTTCATATGATAACTAAAAAAAACTTGTAATTAAATCTAACAACAGTGTTTACAGAAAGGCTGAAGTGAAATGATCCTGCCCAAATGTGATTAAGAAGACATACAGTAAGTAATTAAACTTCTATTTGATTTATTTATCAGAGATTGAACTATTCTGGTCCCTTTGTAGGCTATCTTAATTTTTATTTATTTACTTATTTTTATTTTATGGAAAAAAGGTAAAATTTCATAACAAAATAATAGGAGAGTAACAATAGTTAATACATTACATGTTGTTAGCTTTAAAGTAGTTGTTCAGGGTACAAAATATGGGCATAAATATTTCTTCAATTGATATTAGCACAAACCTTCCTTTTTAGTGATCTAAGAGACACTAATAGTATAACTGATCATTAGATACTGACTTAACTAACCTTACGTATTCCCATACTGAAGTTTTTACTGTTTCTTCAACTTAAAGTAAAACTTTAAAATGAAGGGATAGTGGAGGCATATTCTGACAAGAGCAAGAGTGTTCTAGTGAGAATGAACACAGCCAGGCATGAGTTCTGTTGACTTTGTTAATGACATAATAAATATCAGTGGAGAGTGGATCAAATGAAACTCACATTGCTATTGTGCTTGAAAATGAAAAATGTACCCCATATGCTCAGGTCATGCTATACTGGGATACCACGTTTTATTGTTCTGTTTTATAAGCATTCTTTTGAAGAAACTGTAAAAACTAATTTTTTAAATTGTGACAGGTTCTTGCACAGTTCAGGCTGGACTTGAATTCACTATGTAGCCCATTCAGGCTGTTCTCCAACTCATGATGATCCTCCTGCCTCACCTTCCTCAGTAGTTGTATTACAGCCATGAACCACTACCCAGGTATAACAATGTATTTTTAAACTAGTATTGTAGTCTTTTTTCTGACAAAATTCTATTGTAGGTAATATAAATGTCAGCCTCTTCTAAAGAGCTTTTGTCTTTTGTATTGTGAACTGAATATATCGTGAAAAGTCAATTGATAAGGATAGAATAGCAGCTGGGATATTACCATTCACTGGGGAATAGTTTCTCTTAATTACATAGTACCACGTACTGTGTCACGCAATACAGATGGTCCATTTCTTGTCATTCAAATAGATCTGCAGTTTTCATCTTCAGTGGTGATAGTGTGTGTGTGTTTTAATGGTGGTGGTAAGAATGAGCATAGTATGAGAGCAACAGTAGAATGTAAAAGGCACTGGATTTAGAACAACATAATGTCTCAGTCCACTTTTTTTCTTTTTATGTCAACATGACAAGGGTTCTTAAGTCAACATTTTAGATAGAAATGCATGACATAATGACTATACGAGTCATTCTGGAGTCAATCACTTGAAGTACTTCACTTGAGTCCCAATTCAGAAAGATAATCTATGCTGCACTCAGTAATAGGCAGCTTATGAAAAGTATTATTTTAACAATTCCAATAGACCTCTAGAAATTGATGGATTTTACCTTTTTATGAACATTTTATGGTTCTTAAATTTACAACAAAATATAAGGAAAATGCCAGGTAATTGCTAACATTTCTACTGATTTATTCAATGAACCTCAACCAACAGATATGGATTTCCTTTGAAGGTGCTTAGGAAACACAGTAGCCACAGAATAAGCTCAAAAGGAGAAAAATATTTTGTATCTCAAAGGTTTTTCAATTATTAACATTATGGTTTAGATTTAGATTGTCCACCCCAAGACTCATGTGTTCAGAAGTGGGGCTTGTAGTGAGTGAGTGGAGCGTGCGGGTGCTACACACATCAGTGGATGCATCCATTCCTGTGTCCACAGCTAAATACGCAGTGGGGAGGTTGGGTCTGGTCAGAAGGGGTGGGTCTTTGGGAGTGTGACCTGGTAGGGTGAATCTCTGTCCTGGTTGCTCCCTCCTCTCTGATTCCTGGCTGCCATGGGTCAGCGCACTCTCCTCCCTCAATCCCTTTTGCTATCTTATTTCTGGCTTGGAGCCAGCTGGGCATGGCCTAAATCCATGAGCCAAAATGAACCTCTCCTCCATTAACTTAGGGGTGTTGGGTTTTGTACCAGAAATGAAAAAGTAACTAAAACAACTAATTCCAGCCTTTCCCCACCAAAGTAATTTTTGCCCAAATTATCATAGTTAATACCACCTCCACCTTCACTCTGTTTGTGAGATGACAATTAGGATTAATACGTTAGCTGTCATCCTTTTCATTCACTTTGGTCCCCCAGTTTCTAACCAAGAATGCACATCAGCATAACTAAAGACTCTGTAAAATACCTATGTCTTCGTGTAACCCCCAGCAGAATCTAACTCACCAGACAGAACAACGTCTATCTAGGGCACAGGAGATCTGAAAGCATCATACAGTTTACAAGCACAATGTAGTGACTGTAACCTCTCTGAAATCATATAGATACTTAAAGATGAGATAAAAAAAAAAAAGGAACTTCTGTGTACAAATTCACATAAAATTTTCGGACAGATGTGGCATCTGAAAAAGCTTCATTGAAGAAGATAGTAAATTAATAATTATTGTAGTTTAGAAAGGGTACTGGGAAGGAAAACTGAGGGGAATTTCGATAAAGTGCAGCAAACCAGCACTAGATAGGAGGAGTGAGTTCTAGTGCTCTACAGGATGGTGGGAAACTACAGTTCACAACAACTTATTGTAAACTTTATAGGAACCAAAGAAGCTCAGAGGCTATAAACACAAAGAAATAGCAAATATTTAAGGAGATGGAAATGGTAACTACCTTGATTTGGTCATTGCATATTTTATCAAGTTATCCTAGTATGGCCCAGTTATGTATAATTATTATATTCCCTTTAAAATAAACTGCAAAAACTAAAAAGCTTTAAAAGTACATGTAGGGCTGGGGATTTAGCTCAGCGGCAAAGCACCTGCCTGGCAAGCACAAGGTCGTGAGTTCGGTTCCTGGTACCGGAGAAAAACCAAAAAAAAAAAACAAAAAACAAAAAACAAAAAAAAGTATATGTAAACACAAAAACATATGTTTTCATGTAATTACATACTGAGAGTTAATTGCATCAGTATACTTAGCTCTGGCCATTATGAATCTAACACTTAATGCTATTTTTTCCCTATCCTTTTACTCCACTCTGAATACTGTATTAGCCATTTCACCTCTCCCCACCTTCCCTTACATTTAAAAGCAAACAGTCCTTGACTGTGTAATATACAGATGTAAGTTTAGGTAAGAGTCCATACAAACAGTGGAAAATACAAAACAGGTAATCTTAAATTTTAGAGGTAAAGGGTACTTCAGATTACTATTTATTTGGTCATTTTGAGACAGGGTGTCACTGTGCAGTTCAGGCTGACCTTGAGCTCAGTCTGTAGCCCAGGCTTGTGTCAAACTCACAATGATCTTCTTGCCTCAGCTCCCTGAGTGCTGGGATTACAAGCATGCACCACCACACCCAGCCAGATTACCATTTATTGATTAAACACTACATGCCTGGGAGATGATGGATATGGGTGTTACTGCCAAGGCCTTTTCACTGAAGGGAAGGTGAGCAACATCTGTATTCTAACTAGTGGTACCTCGGCTTGGTACTAAGAATAAAGTAGTTAATGGATCCTGAAAGAAAAGTCAATAAATCAATAAATGAAAGAACAGCTGGAGAATTAACTCCACAAAAGGAGCAAAATGCAGAGAACTTACTCATTTTGCTTTGAATTCTTTGGCTTTACTCCCTCATCTGCCACATGAAGGCATTAGAAAGGGTTTCGATTATTTCCCACCTCAAAAACATGATTTCTGTATTCTTCACAGTTCTATTGCCTAGTGCAAAGCAGGTACCTAACTCTTAACTTATATCAAAAGGAAATAGAATCAGCACCTCACAGGGAAATATTTATTCCCATGTGCACTGCAGCATGATTTAGAGTAGAGAACATGCAGAAAGAACCTAACAGTCCAACAATGAATGAGAGAATAAAAAGAAACCTGTATATTCACACAATGACACATTATTCAGAGTTAAAAAAGGATGTGCAACCATCTGCAAAAACATGGATGAACCTGAAGGACATTACGCTGAGGGGAATAAGCCAGACAGAGAAAAAATAACTGCGTGGAATCCTTTCTACATGGACTGTTTTAAAAGGTCAAATTGGTAAAAGACGGGGGCTGGGGATTTAGCTCAGTGACAAAAGCGCCTGCCTGGCAAGCGTAAGGTCGTGAGTTCGGTTCCCGGTACCGGAGAAAAACAAAAAACAAAACAAAAAAAAAACCAAATTGGTAGAAGACGTAGAAACAGAGATTAGAGTTAACAGTATTTTTTTTTCTTTTTTTTTTGGTTTTTCTCCGGTACGGGGAACCGAACTCACGACCTTACGCTTGCCAGGCAGGCGCTTTTGCCGCTGAGCTAAATCCCCAGCCCCCGAGATTAGAGTAATGGGTTGCCACAATTGAAAGGTGGGTGGAAAGAGGGAAAAGCAGGTCAAAAGAAACTTGCAGATATGTAAGATGAATAAGTGTAGAGAGCTAACAGAAAGCCTAATAATGTATGGTATACTAGAAAATTGTTACATAGGGATCCTCTGTTTCATCTATTGCCATGTATATAACAATTTCATTTAACATATATGTATAACAATTTCTTTTTTAAAAGTCACAGTATTTTAACTTCAGGGACAATGCTGATGCAACAAGCACTCAACTGTACACAAAGTTTCCCAGGATGCTGTAAGGATTTTTCAAGTGGCATAAAACTACATTAAAACAACACTGAACCAGAATGCTTTATTGTTCCTCGTGGTTATAGGTCTATTAGTCAGTCTATTGATTCTACTTGGAATGCGATGATTAAGTGCTGTCTGAAATACAAGATCCAGTTCAGATGAAATCATCACTATGAAAAACACACAGCATTTTTAAATTTTGTTTATTTGTAGATTAAAATGTAATGCCATACAATTTTAACAATCACTTAAAAAAGGATTTATATTTGCATAAAACAGAAGCAAAACAGAAATATATGAAATAAAATGCCATCTTGCTTCAAGTTTTCAAATCAGTACTTAGAGCACTGATATACATCTATATACATTGCAAGTATATTATATAAATATACTATGAGTAATCTTAAAACCACAATAAATATCAAGTAGGTTTTTAGGCACAGGGCATAAGAAAAATGCAAAATCTGCATCATTCTTGAGGGTGCTGAGTGACTCACTCTTATAGCATTTTCACACATGTATTTTACACAAAATATACAGCCATCATTCACATGTTCCTCAACCACTTCTCCCTCTAACCTTTCGTCCCCGCATTAGTGCCTTCTTATCTTTGATGCTATTGCTCTATTCAGCTATTACATAAGAAAATATTTTGTAGTTTTCTTCAGCTAAGTGCCTACGAAGGTATCATCCCTACCAAAATAAGTACAGCCTATCCACACAATATATTCATGGAAACGTGTGAGAGGCACCAACTTCTACCACTGCTCATTGTAATACTGTGAGTTACCCTGAAGGCAAATTTACAGATTTTAAGGTTATATCATTATCGAATAGCCAATACTATCAAATCCAGAAATTATTAGAAACTGAGGTAATACCTGTTTTTGTAGAGATAGAAATACTTGAAAATACACCAAAAGTGCTTTTTAAAAATCCAGACAAACATGGACCTCAATCATTGTAAGCTTTGCATGTAATCCTTTCTGCACAAATGTAAACCAAAGAATCCAAAGGAATGCTCTAGCCGAATCGACATGTACTGTTAGGATAAAGAGCACAACCATAGAACACCTGAGATTGCCCTCCGGTAAGTGAAGCCTAATGCTTCTCTTAGTAGAGCCAATGTTCATTGATAAAATGAACCAGACACAGCCTGTTGATTTCCCCCAGGCTACAAGTCAGATGACTCTGGCATATCCGGCATATCTGGCATGTCTGCCATCAAGTATCCTATTCCATAACGTCCATTGGGAGCAGTATCCAGCGTTGGTGATCCACTCTGTTTTCGGTATATATTTTTACCAAAATTTGGAGACGACATTTCACTTGTTATCTTTCCATGAATGAGACTTGCGTCATCTCCCTCCAAGTTCACCGGCTCTTTCAGGACCCTTCCTCTCTTATAGGTCACAGACGCTAAGTTACCAGAACTGTCGTCTATGAGGTTGCAGCGACGAATGATGTAGATTACCGGGACAGGAAGTATTGCAAGCACCATCAGGGAGACACAGACAACCATTGCCCACAATGGATAGGTCAGGAATTCTTCCGACGCCTGTGAAGGCCAGAAAATAATTATTAACAATCTTTCTATGCACATACATGAAAATTAGATTTCTCAGGTCTGCTATCAAAGAAATCTGGACCAGCTCTGTGACTTGCTTTGATCAACAAAAGGCAGTGAGAGATACATTCAGCAACTTCCAAGGCTGGGCCTTAAAGATCTTGTAGTTTTTGCTTCTGCTTATTAGAGGGCTGCCCTGAGTACATTATGGTTCAGAGAAGCCTAGAATGAAAGATGAGAGAGAGAAAGAAGGAAGAGGAGAGGTGAAGAGAGGCGAGGCAAGACCAGTTCTCCAAGTGGCACGAGTTGGCCCAGTCCCAGCTCAACCCAAAATCATCACAACTTTGAGTCCCTAAATTTGGAGTAATTTATTACTAAGCAATAGATACTATTCTATTTGCCATATTCTCTTCCAAATATCTTAAAACCTATATTTTGGAGAACATCTGACTGTACAGATTTGAATAAGAATGACCGTCTTAGGTCTTAGTCATGACTGATTATTATGTAGAATTATTGGCAATAGGATGAGGGACAGAGACATCTCAGAAAAGCAAGCAGTCTGACCTCATAACACAGTATATTACCATTTGATTAAATCAGCTTGAATTTTACGTCACTGCTAATAGAAAAGTTATAATAAATCTTTACTTCAATTTACCTATTTAAATTATGTTTACATGGCTAATGCCTTTTTTTCACTGCTATGTAGTTCCGGAGATGCAATGTACATAGAAACAATATTTCTGGAGGTTTGATTAAATATGTTTTCTAGAGTCAAGGATCCGACAGTCAGTCACTGGCTCATCAGAGGTAAGATGAATGCCTCTGCTTCAATAAGGGCAAGGTCAGCAATCCCCATGGGTTTAAGAAATTCATAATACATAAACCAAATCATACATGTTTGGGGCACAAAGCACAGGGATATTAAGATCCCTGAATAAAAGCAGCACCATTCAACAAATGGCAAAAAAATTGTTAAGAAAACAAGACATGAGCTTCTAACATAGTCTTTGTTCTTCATCTTTTAAAAAATCTAATGTTCTTATTTTATATTTTACCTTCTCTTCAATCCATGCATTATAGCCCGGAGGACTTAATCCCATGTTTACAATGCTTGCGATCAGCAAGGACAACAGCATCAGAGGGGAAATGTATTTCCACATATAGTAGTAATATCTGCTGGGAGCAAAGCCCAGCATATCCTTTAGATCTTCTACAAATCTGAACAAAAGAAAGCACTTAATAATTCATCAGGTTAACACTGCTATACCTTAAAATGTGCCTTACATAAAGGGTTTGTCAGAATTGAACCGTGAATGCTTTATGACATGTTATGCAGAATCAAAAACTGACACTAGGAAATGACTTATAAGTTAAAAAAAATTTAAAAAGTAAAATGAAACTGATAAGTATTACATTTTTATTGAGCAAAAACCTTCTTAAATCAATTATTGAAAAGTTTCCTTTTACTGATGATTCTTATTTTAAGAACATTTCTCTGTAGTACCTTAAAAACTCCTTATATCATTTTTTATACAGCAGTAATTCCCCAATATTACCAAATATCCCTAATTCATGTTTGTATTTTTTTGAAATGTTACTTTGCTTGGAAGAAGGTCCACATTTTATAATAAATCAAGGCATCACAAATCCAGTTTTAACTCTAGTTCCTCTTGTGTCTTTCTTGTTTCTTCTGGTATACTGTTGTGTTGTTTTCGGTTGTCGTGGTTGAATTCCCTGGGTACCTTGTCCTATAATCTCCAAGTCTAGATTTTGCTGAGCGCATCCCCACAGAGTTATTCATGTGTGTATTTGGCTCCCTTATTCCTCCCAAACTAGACTTAGAAATAGAAGTCATGAATACATATATACTGAAATTTTTTAAAGTCAGGTTGATGAGGCATAATTTATGTGAATAAAACTTCCATTTTAGGTGTACAATGATAACGCAGTCAGCGTATACATGGTAGCCATGACATAATAGCCTAACTCTCTTAAAAGTTACATGGAAATGAATTTTTACTGCCACTCACCACTGATATTTCTGTAGACTTTCTTGTTGTCTAAAGCTAGTTATTCTAATACAGTCTTCAGAGAGATGCAATAACAGTATATCTTAATTTTTGCATGGTTGAAATTGGTTCCTGCCCTCTTTTTTTCTTGAAGTAACTTCTCAAGATGAGTATATGTAAATGAAATAAATTTGCCTGCGTATTTAGGAAGGAGGGGTCAACAGTCCCCTTCTTTATACACAAAGTAGTCAAAGATTCACTTCATAATGAGATCTACTCCTCCTCCCAACTCCTTATATTTATCTCATTTCTTTTTGCACTGGCAAATGTCCTGCTAAGTTTGGGTTTTGCTCCCAACCCTTGTTTCGGTGTAGCACTTAGGTCTTGGAGGGTACCTGCAATTTGTTAGTTTTAAGAGTTTTGGAGAGCAGAGTGATCCAGCAATGATAATTACTGCATTTGATCTCTTCGCAGTCCTTGCAATGAAAGCAATGAAATTTCTCCCGCCTTAGGCCATGGCTTTGGGGCACCATGCTGCCCTTTGCGGGGAGCAGCCGTGGATGGTCAGGAAGGAGCCAGAGCACAGCTGACGTCCTCTGCTGTCCTGCTCACCGGTGTGACGCTATGTGGCTGACAGCAGTTGATCCTCAGTATTTGACCGTTCACAGGACTATCTTCTTGCCATTGCCCGTGTATCTTTGGTTTTCTTATTTCCCTCATTGAAAAATTAAAAAAAAAACTGGGCTCCCATCCTTTTCAGCTTTACAGAGTCCTCATTTTCATTTTTATTTTCCACATATTTTATCCTAGCTACACTGCTATGATCCCATAGTTTTTTTTTTATTTGAATTATTTCCACTTTCCAAAATTTGGGTTTTGATTTTCTACTTCCTGGGGAAGCATGTCAAAGCAGCAGATGGCACTGAGAAGAGCTGTGCTCATGAAATTATTTAAGGTCAACAAGAAAATACAAAGTTGCTCCAGAATTTTAAAGGAGGAAAAAGTAATTTAATGGGAGCATTTTGATGTGAGCGTTCTATACCTTCCTCACAAGACAAACTATTATTTTTGCAGACTAACAGATCTCATTTTAGATCATAGTTTTGTCATCACTTTAATGTGTCTCAGTGTCTTTCAGCTTCATTTTGGAGACTTTCAAACTACATACATTCAACGTGGAGGACTGTTATGAGAATCATCAGCAATGTATGTGTAGCACACTACCTCATGCACGACAGAAATAAAATGGATGTTTTCTCTTATTGGCAGTATTCCTCCTGTTGTAATGACTACGGTTTTTGAACATTAATTATTTTAAAAAGATATTCCATAATATGCCTTTGTGAAATGATTTACTGTGTAAATGGACATCAGGGTTGTGGATGTATTGATTCATAGAAGGTCAAGAACAAAATCAGATTCTATCACAGTGCAAGTTAAGAATCATGGGTAGCTTGGTGGACAGTCAAGAAATCTGACTTTGAAAGGATGGCCAGACAAGACCTCTTGGTTCTAGGGGCTGGGGATTTAGCTCAGTGGCAAAGCGCTTGCCTGGCAAGCGCAAGGTCGTGAGTTCGATTCCTGGTACCGGAAGAAAAGACCAAAAAAAAAAAAAAAAGACCTCTTGGTTCTACAACTGAGTCACTGCGTCCTCCCATACAAGAAGAGCTAATGTCCCCTGTGTAAGACATGAGTGATGTTGGTCACCACAGAGTGTTTTCTCAGCACAGACTTTATTTTTAGAACAGTGTTAGGTTCATAGTAAAATTGATTTGATGGTAAAGATCTCCATATACTTCCTGCCTCCCCCATTATCAGCAACCTCTATCAGCTGTGCGTGTGTTACAACTGAAGAACCCATGCTGACACATTATTATACCCCAGAATTCACTTTTGACTTTAAGCTTCACTTTTGGTGCTCTACGGTACATGTGTTTACAGAAAAGCCTGATCAACAGCTCTACCCACAACTGTATCAGAACAGCTTCATTGCTCTTCGGGCTCCACATATACATCCTCCTTCCCTCTGTCAACCAGTGACCTTTCTACTGTCTGCATAGTTTTGGCTTTTCCAAAATGTAACACAGGCGGACTCCTACATGACATAGATGTTGAGAGAAGGCTGTCTCTTAGTAGTATTCATCTATAGTTCCTCCAGGTCTATCTTGGCATGAGAGGCCATTCCTTTTTAGCTATGAATAATATTCTATTGTCTGGGTCTATATTGAGGATACCTTAGTTACTTCCAAGTGTTGGCATTTATGAATAAAGCTGCCCTTAGTAATTATGCACAGAGGGGCTGGGGATTTAGCTCAGTGGCAAAAGCGCCTGCCTGGCAAGCGCAAGGTCGTGAGTTTGGTTCCCGGTACCGGAGGAAAAAAAAAAAAAAAAAAAACAGTAATTATGCACAGAGGTTTCCATGGACATACACTTTCAGTTCCTTTGAGGAAATACCAAGGAGTGTGCTTGCTAGATCACACAGTAAAAAATTCTTCATTTTTACTTAGAAACTGCCAAAACATCTTCTTCTCCAGTGACTACACCACCTTGCATTCCACCAGTAAGCAATGAGAGCTCCTTTTGTTTCACACCCTAACCAACAGTTTATCTATGTTCTGGATCTTGGCCATTCTAGAAGGTGTGTAGCAGTGTGTTATTATTGTGTCAATCAGTATTTCCCTGAGGACATGTGACAAGGAGAATTTTTCAGAGGCATATTTGCCATCCTTAGCGTGCTACACACAAAGCGTAAGAGCTAATACTGTCACGCAGAAAAGCCTTTCACACAGCTATCTTACTACGATGACTATAGAGGACACAATTGTTAACTGTTTCCTTGGAATGGAGCCTGGAGCTTTTGACAATAAATAAAAAACATTCTCTATGCTTTGTTACAAACTCATTTGGATACTAATTATATCCCTTAAGTCACTTAAGAGGACTCTGTTCTTTACTTAACTTGCATTCATTCCTGGTTTGCAGCATGACCTAATAACCTTAATGATTGTATTACCTCACAGGCTATGTATGTTAAATAGAGGAAATTACTTTAAAACATACTGGATAAAGCCTTCAAAGGGCTTTTATGAAAACTGGTTGTGTGCAGAAAATGATATATCCATAAACAGAAGATGATACTGTATATCATTTCCCGAAACTGTTCTCCTGCATAAGGCATTATGCACATGTTTCCTAAAAGTGTAGCAAAGTGATGAGAAGATAGGCTTTAAAGTTAAAAAGAAATAGCTGTGAATTCAAGGTCTCCTTCCACCCAGGTGTGTGACGAAAAGTCACTTCATTTCTCTAAGCTTCACTGTCCTCATTTATGAAATGTAGGTAAACAATAACTCAAAAGAGCCTGAAGTTGTTGGAACACGGTCAATATTCATTAGATCTTGAATGCTACCATTTTATTAGCAGAATTACATCAAAGCTGCAAAATTCTAAACTGTGTTACAGTCTGCAGAATTTTAACTATTCACCCAATAGAGGAGCATACTTCACTGAAATTGTTCAACGAATAAGATCTTGTAAACTATTTGATTTGGCAAATAAAAGAAGGTTCCTTCTCTTCATTTCTATCTCCTCCTGAATAAAATAAGTACTGACAACTGGTCTTTTTAAAATAGGCATGAAAAGCCAGGCATGGTGGCACACATCTGTAATCTCACCACTCGGGAGGCTGAGGCAGGAGGATCTCTGTGAGTTCAAGGCCAGCCTGGGTGAAAAAGTGAGCTCCCCGCCAGCCTGAACTACATAGAGAGACCCTGTCTCAAAAAGACAAAAAGAAAAATAGGAAAGAAAAATGAAGGTGTAAAAGCAAATATACTTACTTATCTATGCCATAAACAAAGCTTACAGCAATATTCTCCAAAATGACTACAATTAGCAGAGGCAATGTAGCAGAATAATCATCAAACATGGTAACAAAGTAATTTCCAGAGCGTTGCACAAATATCAGGCCGATGCAAAATGCAAGAAGACAACAGAGAACTAAAGGAAAGGAATAAGTGGAAAAAGTTAACCCATATTTAAAGTTAAGCCTTATAAAGTTCATTATGAATTATAATGTTCAAACACTTTTTTAAACTTTTATAATATGCTGTAGGCATTACTTTTCCTAATATGATGGGGTATTATATACTGGGAGTTAAATTCCTTGGATTTAGCCTCAGCTGGAATATAAATTCACTATAAAACATTAACTCATCTTCCTGAGTCTGTGGAATCTCATTTACCAAGCACAAATTATAAATGAGCAAAACTGAGGGAATTTTAAAAAGTATAAATTTCTATATCCTACCTCTATTACTAATATCAATGTGATCTTTGCAGATAGCTAATATTCATAGACCATTCCTACCCTTAATAATTTGCTACTGTTTTAACATCTATATGGAAGTTTTAACTGGTAATGAAACTAATATGATTTTATATGTTTATAAAACCTTTATTCTCTATATTTGATTGAAATATGGTAATATTTAAAGCATAACCAGAAAAATCTGATCAGAACTAGCCTCAGCATCAATACACATATCTTTGTCTGAACTGGTTAGTGTGGAAACTAACTGGGACTCAGCTGAGCAATGTAATTATCGAAGTAACACCTAAGCACCGTCTAAAAGGATTTTCCCCAATCACACCCAAGAAGCAGATGCATAAAATCTGAACAGCTGCTATTACAAAAACCCAGAGAGGCTTTTAGAATCCATATACTATTTCCATATTTTTGTTAAATTCTTTATTTTTTCCGCTTCATTAGCAGGGAAGTCCACTAAAACAAGACAAAAAAACAACATTATTTCTCAACCACTTTTTTTTGAGCAGAGGTGAGTAAAATCAAAAGAAGTACAGTATTGGAAAGCAGTTCAGAAGAGGAGAAAGCAGACCTCGTGGGTTCAATCGTGTGAGGTTTTCCTAACAATCTCAACAATTATGGCGCACGTGAAGGCATTACCTCCACCTCTGAACACTGTGTAGTACTATGAGTTATATCACACAGAAATAAAAATAGTATGCAAGCATATAATGTGGAAAAGAAAAGGCACATTTACTTGGAAATCCACTGCATTTAACTATAAATGCTAGTCACAATACACAATGAATTTCAATTATTTTGCTTAATTTCTGTAACACCTCCATTAAACAATACACTGCAATCTTTATTTTACAGATGAGAGAAATGGCCTTGAAAAATTTAAGTATTTGCACTTAAAAGTCTCAGTCTGGAAGTAGCAGAATTGAGAATTTCACCCAACTCTGACCCCACAGTCAATAGTAGCTTCGCTTCCCCCAACCGCAACCGAGAATTTAAGACAAATACAAAGAAAGCACCTTCTGTGTGCTACAGACAGTCAGGGTTTTGCTGGAGATGCGAGGGGAAAATTAATGAATAATTCCCTCTTCTAAGTCTAACTACACTGAAGAAAAATGAAGTGCACAGAAAAGGTGGGGAGGTCACACAGAGTTCAAATATGACTTGAAGGGTAATTAGCATCCAAACAGACAGGGAAGAGAGGAAGATAGCATTTTTCAAATCAGTCTTTCAGTGGGAGACAGTAGATGCTCCTTTGTGAGTTCTTCCTACACTGTTTCTTGTCCGTTAATTTTACAAGCTCTATCCTAAAGAAAGGGATGCTTTGGATATGTGGGAACAAAGATAAGAATGCAAAGATGACTCTTTAGCCTTTATACCAGGCAGGATATTAATATTGATGTTCTGATGTAGAAACTGCTTTCTGGGAAGAGATAAAAGTAGTTCATCATTTTTTGTCCAACAGAATTCAACTTATACAGACATAGATATTTATCAAATTGCTGAAGGCAATAATTTGTGAGACATTGCTACTAATGAGTAGAGACCGTTAGCAATAAGTAATAAAATATAACTTATATTGAACATATACTTTATATAATAAATATATATTAAAATAATGATTAGAGATTATTAAAATGCAAAGTTCATTTTCCTATTTTTATCTCTAATCTCTCACAAAGAATAAAATAGCCTGTATTAATTCAATGAAAAGTCAAGTATACAGGACTGGGTGTGGTGGTGCACACCTGTAATCCCAGCACTCGGGAGGCTGAGGCAGGAGGATTGTTGCCAGTTCGAGACCAGCCTGGGCTACAAAGTGAGCTCAAGGCCAGCCTGAACTGCATAGTGAGACTCTGTCTCAAAAAGACAAAAAAAAAAAAAAAAAAATCAAGTATATAAAAGCTCACCAGTAAGAATTTCCTTCCTGACTTTGAAAGTGTCCACAATAGGTGTGATGATTCCTTCAATGGTCCCGAACATGCTGCCAAGTCCTAGATTTATCAGCATCAGGAAAAACATTACCGACCAGAAGGGAGACGCAGGGAAATGTGTCATGGCTTCTGTAAAGGCAATAAAAGCTAAACCAGTCCCCTGAACAGCCTGCAAAATACAGAAAACCCAACATGAATACAGAGCAATACTATGTCACCACTCTATTCATCAGCTACAATGGGGAAGGAAATCTCTAAATAATATCCAGGTAGCCAGGGGCCACTGCAAATAAACATGCTGACATCAGATTTTAAGGTGCTGGATTACCTTCCCACTCTCAGAATCCACATTTAATTAGACTAAGTGCCATAAATACTGAAACTCTTTAGAACTTCTGAACAGAGTACACAATTGTATTGTGCTATGTACTAAACATTTCATAAGGATCTTGGAATGATAAATTGTATTCAAAGATACATACTGGTTTTGTATCCCTTAAAGCTTACGAGTATGAAAAGTGATTTATTATCACATAAACATGAATATAAATATATATACATCTATTTCTCACCTATAACTAAAATAGCTTAATAAATTGGCATTAAAATGCAATTGTGATTTAAAAAAAAAAACTGCTCTAATTTAAAAGAAAAAGGTGAACACAAAAGGATAGGAACAGAACACCTGGATCACAAAAAGTCAATTTTCAATATTAAGAAATGTGTTATTATGTCTTAACTTTTCTACTTCTGGTATTCTTACCTCCCTGATGAAAAGTGTTGGATTGATGCACTAGTTTTCATAATTTAAAGACACTCAATGAGTTTTCAGTTAATAGTAATAAGAAAATGGATAACAAGGTAGATTCTCCCATCAGGCAGAATAAAATGTGATCAATAGCATGTATGTATTAATGTTAATTGATTTTTCATAAAGATCATAAATACTGAGTTCCTCAAAATAACAACTTCTAACAAACTGAAACTTAACAAAGCTTCAAGTTGTGTTATTTCCTAAAAACAATGAGTAGACCAGAATTTCAAAAAGAATCTTTGAAAAATAAATTGGTAATTCTTTTCCTTAAACAATTCAATGTCGTTATACTCATGATGACTTCAATCATCATTTCAAGCACAAAATTCTTTACATTGTCTCAAGTATAGTCAGCTATCATAATCCAAGTAATTAATGCCAGATTTCCCCAATTTAATAGCAGTTCCCCATATTATGGCAACATAGACATCAGACTAATCATCTACAATGACAATCTCTTTATTGATATTCATTCATCTTTTAAGTTAAATGGCTGAGTGAAATTGCTCTGTAAAGTAAAACAAATCTTGATAAGAAAACATGGGCTCTGAAATGAAGGATGTGAAGTTTGAAACAACATAATATTCTCTTGGCATTTTGAAGACCATTTTCCTGAAAGAAACCTGCTGGATATGACAAGTTTTAACGGAACGATAATTATTTCACTGCTCTGACATGGTCTACTAACTTTGTTTAGTTCATCTTCGATTAGACAGGAGTTGAGATGAAGAACGGGAAACTCCTCTTCTTTGACTTTTTGAATGATGTCATAAACTAAATGATAATCTTCAGCAGTAACCGCTGAGAAGTTGATATGTCGGGGAATAATATCCTGACTAATGTTTCCCAGTTGCAAAAATTTTATGATCATTTCTGAGTTCCTGAAAAATAGAACAACATAAGCATGAGTACCTGCGGTTCACTGGCAATATAAAATTATGGTGTCAAAAGCTAATGGAAATTAATTATCCGTACTCTGCAATGCATTTCTCATTTAGGACATTCGCTTTGAACCCTAGAACTGCAAACACCACCAGTGTCGCCAGGACAGAAGTGAAAAAGTTGATGAAGGACACCAGGACGGCATCAAAGTGACAGTTGTTTTCTCTCTTGTTGTAGCTTGAAAAGGCAATCACACCGCCAAATCCCAGACCTAAGGCAAAGAACACCTGAGTAGCAGCTTCTCTCCAGACCTTGGGCTCCAACATTATCTCAAGCTGTTTGAAATCAAACAGAACAGAAGTCAGCTACAAAGTAGTATTTCATCCAAGTTAACACACTGTTTGGGTAATTATAATGCAATTTATGCACACATTTAAATCTTGAGGATAGTCTTTTTCTTTAGTAGAAATATACTTTTAGTTTGTTTGTTAATTTTTTTCTTGTTTTATGAATAGGAAGGACTACCAAGCAAATAAAACAATTGTTACTACAGCTAAATAAGCACTTCACTCATGCTCATTTAAGCTTTATGTTTCCTGCTGGAAATCTAGTGACTTCATCAGGTAACAATTATACTTTGCAGAATTCCATTATTTGTACTTCGCATAGTCAGTTAGTGTTATTCATTGTAAACCTTTACTCTGAAATAACAAGAAATACATATGTGACACAGCCTTCAGATCCAAAGCCCTTATACACTAATCTGTGGACACATATTTCAAAGGACTGCACTTACTTACTGGATAATTATCAAATATGCCAAAGATATAATCAAACATTTTCAATAGAGCAATTAATATTAGCCATTTCTGACATAAATGTCATTAAACCTTTTAAGTTTTATTTCAGAAACAACAGTTTGAAAACTGGTATTTTACCTCTTTTAATGACTACAGTGAAATTGCCTATATTAAGAGCAATAGCAAACACAGTCTGAACATGAAATCTGCAAGTTCAGATCCTGATTCTGCCATAAAATAATCTAATAATCTTGCTACCTATGGCAGATGGCATGTCCTCTCTTACTGTTAACTTCCTCAGTAGAAAAATGGGAGTGACAAGAACTGCACTACTAAACCTACAGCACTCTAAGTGCCGAACTGACAGCATTCATAAACTATACACAGGCACATTATATGGTTTATCCCACATAACATTCTTAACCACCATGAAGTTACTGCTACTTTATCTCAGCCTTTGGAAGGCTAAGGAAACTACCTAGGGTTGCACAGTCACTCTGGGGTAGAAATAAAATATGAAAATATGTCGTCTTCAAAACTCAATGTTTTCCCAAATATTGGGATTTTTTGCTTTACTTAATTTTAGTTACTATTACTTTTGAAATTTATGAAATATTCTCATATTAGTCATGATTTGTTATATCAAGCTATCTTATCATTTATGGGTCTTTTCTGTATATTAAGTCTATGATGGGTGCTGATCTCTAAACTGAACTCAACTGTCCATCCTGACTTCACCCACTAGATGGCAGGAAAAACTTATTTATTGAAGACATTAGTCCTACAGCTTGCAACCTCTGAACTAAAACCTCCATTAGCTATTTCACAGTATTTTATAAGTTTAGCTACTTGCTTTGTGTAAAGAAAGCAAATTTCAAAGCAAATTATTTATGTTATCATGTTATACTAACTGTCACATATGAGAGTGATGCACTACAGTATCTTACCAACAGTCAGAGAAAAGAGGGCTGAAGAAAAAAAATCAACCTTTTAATAGCAATACTTAGACCACATTAAAAATGTTAATTTATGCTGCTGATTAAATACTGGAGCATGGAGAAGTACTTTATCAAATTCTGAAACATTTCCTTAAATTAAATGTTTCTAATTGTGTCATAAGCCAATTGTAATTTAGAAAGTGGATATATTCCGGAAATTCACATAGAATTTGGTTGTCTTCAACTCATAAAGGATTGTAGTCAGTATTTTAAGTAAATATTTGAAACAGATTTTAGTTAGAATGTGGTGGAAATTCATAAATTAAATTATAAATTAAACTAGCTTTCTAGCAGAGTAGTTCCAAGGTCTAAGTGTTAAGCAAGACTTCTGAACTAGGCAAGAAAACCAGATGGTGATGTCAGCATTTTTGCTATACATAACGAATACCAACTCAGAACCAGACATGCAGAGAACACGGCTTATTTTACCTGGTATGAAGGTAGCTGTAGAAATGACAAAGAATTCCACAGAACCTAATTCCTTCTGCTCAATTCACAGCACAGTGCTGTATCTTTATGTCTGCCTATAACAGTACTAGCAAACTAACAGTGATGTGCAACTTCATTTCAGTAAGTAACAAAAAATACATACACCCTAAACTTAATCGTTGTTTCCTAGCAAATCAAAGTAACAATTTATGATCAAGTCCTCAGTGTTAACTCAACACATTCTATATGCACAGTATTGAGTTCAATTTTACTAAATTGAATAAATTTATGAAGTTGAATAAATTTATTAAGTTTTACTAAATTAAAGTTACTAAATTTAAGCTAAACTCAGTTTAAATTTTCATCCTTTTATGAAGGCTGCTTATTCTTGAATTTGTATTTATACAAGCCCCACAGCTAAACACTATAATTTTTATTTCAGAAGCTACAAAACCTAAAAATAATTCAAAAATGAAAAATTAACTGATTTTCTCTGAGACAATCTCAGAATACGGTAAGGCCCATGAATTTTAGGTGATCTTTTCATCAATGTCCTGAGAAACTAAGCAAATTAATATGTACAATGTTCCTTTCTCTAGGAAGAGCTTATTATTGGTTTCCCAAATGAATTCATGACACAAAAAGTTTAAGAACCACTGAAACAGTGGGGAAAGACTAAGTAAAGACTAAAAAGTTCTAAAAGTTAATGTAAAAATTAGAAGTTAATGTGTTATCAAAGAAGATTCTTTTTGAAGTTTAATTACTGATAGTTTTACGCTAGAGCCAAAATGGGACATTTAAGATTAGATATATATATATTTAATTAGAGCTATAAAAAAAAGCTCTCCTCTTTCTAAGCTGGTGAATATAACTATAATTTTAAAGCCTAAAATACACATGGTAGATCAATAAGCTCTCAAATGTAACCATGGGGATTTTTGAACAACAACAACAAAAATAACATTTCCTGATCGCAAGCCTTAAATAGAAATGCAGTACGTACCTTAGGAGTAAACATGTGGCGAATGCCATCAATTGAACCATTCAAAAGCAACGCTCTGATGAGGAAGCATATAAGTACCACATATGGAAACAGAGAACTAAAATACATAATCTGCAAAGGAAAAAACATCAAAATGGGTAAGATACGCTACAACTATTTTAATGGTTAAGATTTTGCTTTGTCCTACATGTGAACAGTCACTCTTTACAAAATGATTAAAAATGCTATTAACGACTCCTACCACCATCTTGTAAAAATATTTTCTACTTTTGCCTCAGACTTGAGATTCTATTTGAGACATAATGAAAAATTGAAACTTTTAGTTTTTCATTGACATATAACAAATGTGTATCTTTATGGGGTACAATGTGGTAAGTCACTACATATATACATTGAGGAATGACCAAATAGTCATTGTATTGTGTTGGGAAATTATAAACTCTTCCAGTTATTTTCAGATGTACAATAAATAGTGAGCTCTCATCACCCTACTGTGCATAACACGCTAGAACTGATTCCTCCTATTTAAATGTGTGTAGGTATTTGTTTTCTATCCCCTCCCCTTTGCCCCTTCCGTCTTCTGATGATCACTATTCTACTTTCTATTTCTAAGAGATCAAAGTCTTTAGCTTACACATATGAGTGACAACTTGCACTATCTGCCTTCCTGTGCCGGGCTTTTTCCACCTTACATTTTCCAATCCCATCCCTATGTGGCTGCAAATGACAAAACTTCATTCTGTGGAATGGCTGATAGTATGTAATTGTGTGAGTGTAAACACAATATTAAATAATCCTTATTTAATCTCCTTTGAAAAAGGCCACAAGTATGGTGCAGTTTAAATATTGTTGATTCCTTAAGAGTTCCTAAAATAAACACAGGCAGAAATAATTAAAAACTACCTTCGTAACAAATCCCTACTTTTATTCTTTAACTTTTATTTTAACTGCAGTTTCATTCTGATTCTGTAAATCTTGTAGAGCGGTCACATACTAAATCTTTTCTACATCCTGAACAATTAACTATGCAAATGTTTTACCTTCTGCTTCAGCAATTTTCAACATTAAAGAGCAACTCAGTAAATAGTAATCCCTGAGAAGAATTGTCACAGCCGGACATTCACTGTCTTTTTGAAATCAACATGAGGAAACCTAACAGAACTCTAGAATTTTTCAGGTCCAGAAGCAAACTTCTGAATTTTCCTCCAAAACTGTTCCTACTCTCTTTATGTAAGAAAATGGCCCCACCTCTAAAAGTAACCTTGCAGTATTTGTAATATTCTGCTGACTAGCTTCCAGACTACCACTAGGGTTATGTCATTTCCTGTCTAAAACACACTAGGAGTTCCCAACACCATCAGAAAAGAATGTAAATTGTTCCCTCTGGCTCCCCAATTCTTGCACTTGAAAGCCTGCCTGCCCCACCATGGTCGGGTGCTGAGCTCCACCCTGTGGGTTCTGAGTTTAACAAGCTCACACCTCTTCTTCAACATGTTGTTTCTGGGTCTACGATGTACTTCCTCTGAGCTTTCTGGTGAACTTCTCTTGACCCATCCTACTCTAGCCCAAAAATTATCTCCTCTGTGAAACTTTCCACCAAATGCAGGTTAATGTCAATAGCTGCCTTCATTCCACCATGTACTTTCTATTAGTCTCTATGACTGTACCTACTGTGTTGTAATTATCTGTCTGAACCATTAAATTATGGTTTTCATGAGGGCAAAGAGGGTTGCCTATTAATCATCTTAGATCTCTCAGTGCCTGGCATAACTCCAAAATAACATTAAAAGAGAACTTATTTTTCCCCTTTATACATTCCCTCTTACCAAAACAAACTCAAAATCCAAAAGCAAACCTATATGTATTCTGCAGCATTCTTAAAATTATATGTCAATTATGTTATCAATTTATTTCAACTTTCATTAATTGATTCTACATTTGAGTTCCTAAATACACTAATCTAGCTTCAGTAATATTCTAATATACTCCCAAAAAAGAAAGAAAAACATTTCATATATACATATGTATATGAATATACATATATACAGTGGAAAAAATTATAGTCAATATTTTAAACACTTAAGTAATATTAAATAGGTCAAAACCTCAATTCTGTTCTTCTATGAGCAAGGAAAAGACAAAATACTCAAGTATTAAATTCCAAGATTTAAAAATATATGCACAAAGTTGGCACTTTACAAAGGAAACTGGTTTCAAACACAAATGCTTTGCATTTAATCATACTGTTCTAATTTTATATCAAAATACACATCTGTGTAACACTGTTAAAAACAGGTCATATTCAATCTAAGGTATATATACCAGACTTGTATACAATGTTACCTGAAATTATATACATTGTATACATTATTACTATATACATTGTATATTCTTGTATACATGGGTACCTGTGATCATTTCATGGATGTGTTATTCACTTGCCTGTCACTAAAATGGAAACTTCCAGGTTGTCTTTTCTGCTTTAATCATTGCTCTATTTCCAGAACTAGATCTTCATCTGGCACATAGTAAGTGCTCAATAAATATTTGTTAAATAAGTGAAGAAAGGATGAATGACCCTTACATTTTTTCCAAAGAATGAATATATACAGAAAATAAGGACAGGAAACAATGAAATACGTTCCTCCTTTGGTTTATGTTAAGACCCCCGAGCCATGACAACTGAAATACTTTTAACAGTAAGTACATAGTAAGAGAAAATTAGTTTGTTGAAAAAATGTATAAAAACATTTTCATTGTACTGAACTATTGAAAAAACACAGTATACAAAATGTTTAGATTTTTCCCCTTACATAGTAAAGATGTGTTCATTATAAACACACTTTTTAGAAAGAATGATTCTTTTTGAGCATTTTATTTCCTAATTTTATCTCTTTCTGACAGTTACTGGTCATTTTTTTCAATTTTATTTTAAAGAGAAAAAAACAAAAAAGCAAAAGCAGGCAAAAACAAAAAACAGGCCAGGCATGGTGGTGCACACCTGTAATCCCAGCACTCGGGAGGCTGAGGCAGGAGGACTGTTGCGAGTTCGAGACCAGCCTGGGCTACAAAGTGAGCTCAAGGCCGGCCTGAACTGCATAGCAAGACCCTGTTTCAAAAAGGCAAAAAGAACCCCCCCCCAAAAAAAACCAAAAAAACTGCAAAAAACAATAAAAATGATATAGAATTTCAATACAAGTTGATAAGAAATTAACAATGGTTATTTAATTCTGCCCAATTATCTATTCCTTTGAGCTTATTGACTTTGTAGTAAAATAGTGATAAGAAAATACAAATCATCTGGCTGATATATTAAACAAGCTAATGTATACAAGCAAAGTATGTAGCACACCTGTGGAGCCAGCCAAGTATGGACTGAAACCTCCACAAACTGTGAGCTAAATAAACCTTTCCTTCCTTCATTTGGGTGTCAGGTATTTTGTCTCAGCAAGGAGAGAGAGAAGTAACCAAGACACTAATGATTATGAGTTAGCCTGAAAAGATATATGATCACAGCTTTGCTTTAAAATAGCATGTATAGAATATTAAGAGAGGGAGAGAAAAGACAATAAATTCTTGTTATGGTACAGTCAAGAGATACACAGAGAGCTACAGAACACTATCAGTGATAATGAAAAGAATGCATTACGAACTCAAGATACCTAGGAAATAACAATTATTTTCTGAATGCATCCTTTAAAACAACAATAAGAAATCAAAGTATGCAGAACTTACTTAAGGTGTTTTCAACTACATCTTCTTAAAATTTTCAATTTATCCTGGTTGGCATTGCCTTTAGTCATTTATAGTGCTCTGAATTCCTTGATGGGATTATTATAACTACCGAATGATATTCAAAACATTAAGATACACACTACACTACACTATTCCAAAATTATTTCCGCAAGGATGCCTTCAAGTATTCACAGCGGAGAGGAATGAATGCTATAAAACAAACAAAATGAATACATCCTTCATTCTACCACTTTCCTCAGTTTCTATTTTTGTAACTCATTTATAATCACAGAGCTAAGCCATTAAAGTCAACCAAATAAATAGAAGAAAGAACATTTTAAGTATGGACACAAAAATTTAAAGATTTTGTTGAAATAAGGGAAAACTACAAAAGAAATTAAATTTTACTATAAAGCACATACATCTTTATCTATGGCCTTTCCTTAAACACACTTTTATAAGCCACACTTTTCACCAGTTTTTAACCACCAAATGCAATGTTACGTGCAGCTTGTCCAGAGGCTTGTGGGGATAACCGCAAAAGGCAGTGGGAAGAATCAGGAGGGGCTCTAACATACTAACTTTTCCAGAAGACTGAATGCCTTTGATCATCGCCAAGCAAACCATGACCCAGGCAGCCAGCAAGCAGATTGTCATCTTCCAGTTTAAGCCCCCACTTTCCGAAATGGAGTTGGAAATATCCAGGGCTTCTCGGTACCAGTAATAGGTGGTGGCAGAACTTTTCTCACATTCTGGCTCTACATCTGGAGAAAGAAAGGACACACACAACCCTCTCAGACTGTAAAGTAACTATACATGAGACACACTCTGCCCCAGTAAACCAGTGAATCAGTTAAGATCTTCTGGGAAAGTACAGCCATTTCACAGGGGCACTTAAAATCATAATGAAGACTAAAGGAAAACAAAACTCGATAGATCAATTTGAAAAACTAAAAGATATATATACTCTTTGACAGTTCTAATTACCAGCTTCTGAAATAAGCATATGTGAGCATCTAATGAAAGTAAAATAAATCACGGTTGTCATTCTTCTCACTTTTATAATTATCTAATACCTCATCAGCACTGTCAAATATGCACAAGGACACATGGAACTTTGGAAATAACCCTAGTCCAAAGTGACTTCATTGTGCTACAAATGCAAAATTAAACTGGATCTAAGATTTACTGCATGAAAATAATGCAAATATTATTAATAATCTTTCAATTATGTGTTGAGATGATGTTTCATATATACTGCATTAAATATTTCCCCAGTTCCTTTTTCCATTTATTTAATATGGCTACTAGAAAGTTTTAAACTATGTATCTCAGTTTGTCCTATAGGAAGTTGTTCTTTATATTCTAGGATTTTAAAATAGAAAACTACGAAATAATAGAAATAAAAGCATTGATTCAACTCAGTTCTTTTTATTACCTTTTTGGATATTAATCATCTTTTGTAGGTTGTAATAAATCTCTGTGGCATTAATCAGGCTGTACAAACTAAAAGATTCTAAATCTTATAATGGAAGCTTGTATTTTATCATCATGTTATAGGTAGAGTAAGTAACTTGGAAAGAACTAGTAATAGGAGGATAGCTGGGATAACTTACTGCTGAAGTCTAATGGTTTATTGAAAGGAACAATTAACGCCTATTTTGTTTTCTTTTTGACCAATTTTGCATGCTTATATCTGAACAACTAACTGAAATAATCTGAACAACTAATTTGGAGACAATATGCAACATAAAAACCATTGGTGAATTCCTACCATATTGTTTACTGAAATTCTGTATTGTTTCTAATGGTTGTTTTTGTTTCTATTTTTTATTCTCTTTAATGGTTTGATCAATCTTGCATTCTTACATCTGGTAATCTGAGCAACTTCACTGAAGAAAACAATATGTAATATAACAACCACTGTTAATTCCTATCATTTTATTCTGAAACTCTGTATCATTTTTATTGTTTTTGTTTTGTTTTGTTTGTGTCTATGTTGTTGGTATTGTGCTATGTTCTTTTTTTTATTACTGTCTGTTAAAAAAAAACTAATACAATTCACTGATGCCAAGTCTATCTCTTAGAGTGTTTCAACCTTAAAAGAGAAGAAAGTTTGCTATAATGTAAAGTTAAAAGATTTTTCCATATTATTTTTTAAAGAGAAAGATATTGGGCAGTTTTTGCCTTTACCAGTCTTATGGTTTTTAAATATACACCACATTGTACATGTCTTACAAGTGTGTGATGCATTTTTCACCAGAGGACACTGATCCCAAGGTAGAGGTTGCTGAAAAGACTGAGAAAAGTAAAACAAAGTCCACCCAATGATGACGTTGTAGTAGAGAGCCACGAAGTAGCACACCTGCAAAACAGAATAATACAGTTACATGAAACCACAATAACATCGTTACATCAAACCTTCCTTGCCTCTTCCTTCCATGCATGGGACAAAATGCATACCATTAGATTTTTAAAAAATTCTTCTCGTTTTATTTATTTGAAACATTATTTTTTCATAAAAATTAATGTCTTTCCATAGGACTTAAAACATGCATTAACAAGATTGAGTTCTAAATTATTTATAGCCTGTTCTGTGTATTATACTCTAGTAATGTTCATTAAAATATCGAAGAGTTGTACAGAGATACACTCAGGGGTTTCATTTAGCTATGAATTACACCATTCCAAATCTTTGAAATATTATAGCATACACCACACCAGAAAACTTACTACACAGCTTGCAAATCCAATCCCGCCCAGTTTGGGGCTTATGTAATTCCACACACCAATGCTGCCTCGCCGAATTCTCTGACCCACCGAAAGTTCCAGGAAAAAAAGAGGAATACCTATCACCATAAGTAGTATTAAATATGGTAAAAGATATGCACCTACAGAAACAAGAACAAAAAGGTTACATATTCAATAATCACAGTAGGAAGCACAGTAATTCTGATTATTTCAGGATAGAAAATATTTGCATTTATTTTTGATATAATTACAGAAGTCTTTGAAGAAAATATAGTTTCAAAATAAAGAAAATATAATGTCATTAAATTTTCAAGATCTTCTCTGAATTTGACTACTACAAAAATTTCTAATAAAAATAATGATAAAAGGAAAACAAACAAAAATTATGATAAAAGGATATGAATGGCTTTAGTTACATTTCCACTGAAAGAGCTTCATCCACTAATAAAAATATGATTCTCTGAAATGATTTTAAAATGCACCGAATAGACTGGCAGTGTAAATATCAGATTCAACTAATTAAATAAGGAAATAAGGGTGACCTGTACTCATTCCTAATGAGAGTAACTATGCAAATTATTATTAAATAATCTCTAACCTGGAATTCCTATATTCAGTGTTCTTATCTGAAGTTTTGTCTAACCAGGTTTTGCTAAGTGTAACAGTCATGTATTCATGGTACTAATTTTCTCACTTTTACAAAGGCATTTATTATATTTTTAATATTTTCAAAAAGTCTTTACTGTTATCGAATACATTTTGGAAGCTATTTAAATTGTTCTGGCAGAGCTAAATAAGTAAAAAGTAACAGAGATTTTTTTCAAGTTGTTTATATCAGTATCTGTAGATCTCTACAGTGATCACTGTATATAAGAGTTTCCCTGAATATAGCAGTTAATACATAATCTCTAGCTTTGTAGGAATTAATTTCATTACTTCAAATTTAGTTGATTTGGCAAAAGGCAATGTAATTTAGTGTCTCATAAGCTTATAAAACACAATTATCAAAACTTTCATTCTAAAATGATTAGAACAGTCAGAGATTGCTGAAAGTGGATCCCAAGGAATTGAAAGTGAATTTTAACATCTATAGACAAAATTAAAGATTATGGATGGGTTTATACGTATGGAATAGGACAAGAGGTAAAGAGGGGGAATTAAAATTGGACTCACTGGGAATCTTTCCTCAGTCACGTATGTGTGCAGGACACGCTATCACTAAGCCTTGTTTTCCAGCCCAAATTGCTCTAACCTTGGCCCTCCTATTTAAAATAGGCACAGGTAAAATATAATGTTTACTGTGAAAGTATTTATTGTTTGCCAGGCACAGTTCTGAACACATTATATTCAGATACCCAACTGTTCCTTGTAAGAATCCAGTGAGTAAGTACAATTAGTAACCTCATTTTATAGGTGTAGAAAGGTGTATAACTGTTTAAGCCTGAAGAATCAAGGCCACTTGTGAAAGATCACATGGCTAGTCACATGGAAATCAGCCCTGCTTCAGTGAAACTGGCTTCAGAATGTGACCTTATCATCCTCTGTACTATAATGTTTGCTGTGCTTAACCACTGGGCTTTAAGTTAATATCTTCAGATATAACAACTTACTGGATCAATTACTTTTTTTTCTGTTATTCACAAAATGCTTCAAATGATGCATCAATTGAGATTTCGGTAGTTTCAGGCTGTTTGGCTACATAGCTAGAAGGAATACTGTATGCTGATAACAAGCTTTGATCCTTTTAACAACGATCTTGAAATGATAAAATCAATTGGTATTTTATAATACATGTAATATAATATTGATATTTGCACATAGAAGAGAGAAAATAATATTAGGAAAGGGCACTTTGCTCTCTCTCCCTGTCTCTGTCTCTCTCTATATATATGTGTATATATATATATATATATATATTCTTAGTGGCTAATCTCTATTTGCATCTGAATGGTGATATTATTTTATTTTACATAGGATTTGTAAGACTACAACTAAATTTTTAAAAAGCACATTTTTCTTCAGTCACAGACTGGAAATAAATATGAAATCATTCTATTACTTGTGTGACAAAACACATAATTATTCAAATACTTAGTTTTTAGTCACATATCCTAGCAGCTTTCACATACATAGTTAACAAAATTTCAACACAAATGTTAATTTAGTATTCAGTCTGATACTGTAGAAATAATGACACATGAACAGTTCCTTCCTTTGCTTAGATATGTTTCCTAGATTCTTAAGAAAAATTTTGCTAAATAATCCTTGGTAGTTATATGCACAAATACAAACACCAAGAATATCAATGATGGTGAAGCAAAGTTTAAAATTAATCTCAATTTTTGAAAGGTTTTATCAAAACTGAAAATATTGGTTTAAGATTAATTTTTTTTTAAAAAATGTCAGCAATCTAAGGATGGCATAGGGTGGGAGTTATATTAATTATGTGGTTACATTCTTCTTCTGGGTTCTAAAGATTCTGGTCCATATAACAAGACTATACTCATTCTAAGTTATGTCTCAGCTTTGTTTTTTGACGAGTGAAGCAACTGAAAATTCAGGTATTACGTCACGGAAAGAAAATTCTCTCTGTCCTTCTCCAATATCATCTTATGTTAGAAGTTTTACATTCTTCTTCAAACGAAATAACAGATAGGCAAAAAGGCTGTAATATTTCTTAGAAAAGTTCTAGTTACAAATGAAAGATACCTACGGCATCCACAGAAAAAAATCTGAGAATGCGTAATCCGTAGCAATCCCTGAGAATTGGTAGTATGCTGGTCTGCTCCTATGGAAACCTAATCTCAAAACAGAACTGAGCTCACTGCCCAGAAATCCATCTCCCTAGCATTGCAAAGGAATTCACAGGTGCAAACATAATGAAATTGTAGCGGCTATGGGAGCCATTTGAAATAACCAATTAGAATTTACCACAATATCATATCACTTAAAATAAACAAGCAGACTTACCACCTCCATTCTTCTGACAGAGGTATGGGAATCTCCACACATTCCCTAAACCGACAGAAAATCCAACTTGGGCCAGGATGTATTGTAGCTTATTGTTCCAAGCTGGTCTTTCATCTTCAACTTCAGATCCGTCTTCAGCATCTGTATCTTTCTCTTCTTGAACATCAACAATTAGTTCGCTCTTTTTAAAAGCATCTTCAGCTGAGTCTTCATTAGAAAGAAGGTCTTTGACAGACTCAATAACCTCATCATCTAATTCTCTTTTCACTACTTTGCTATTCTTAGGCATTTGAAGTACAGGGTGTATTAATTAACTTTAAAGACTCCCTTATCGTAAATGTGTTAAATCTTTTCTCAAAAAATGCTACTTGATATGAAGTAAAGACCGAGGAGGATATCAAATAAATCCTTGATTCCAGGTGATAAAGTATTATGGATCCTGATTCTGTATGTCCAATATTCTGTTGATACCTGTAAAATTATAAATTGAAATGTGATAATACTTAATGATGAAAATACTAAATATACTGACACTTTCTTGCTCATTTTAATGGTGAAAATATTCTACGGAGTACAAAACATTGATTGACCTCTGTTTTTTTGAGACAGGGCCTCACTATGTAGTTCAGGTTGGCCTTGACTCACTGTGTAGTCCAGGATGGCCTTGAACTTGCAGTGATCCTCCTGCCTCAGCTTCTGAAGTGTTAGGATTACAGGCATGTGCCACTACGCGGGGCTGTCCTTGGCCTTTCACAGTCTAATAGTTCCAAAAGTATAAGAATCAAAAGCATAAAGGAATTTCATACGCCTTTTCTTGTAACATTTCCTTCTTCCAAGAGTCTGGTTTGATATCATATATACTCTCAGTGCACAATGTACATTCTATTCATCAGTATTTAAAATTTTTTGTCTTTTCATTTTTTTTTCTCCTCACTAAAGTTAATCTTTTCTTTTACCCCTCTTATTTTGTTTTGACACAATCACATATACACCTGTGAGGCAGCCCTGCACATTTCTTTCACATCATCCCTTCTGTTCATATTTTCCTCATTCCTCATCCACCCAGTCACTTAATATTAACTGATGGAATCTTAGAGGATACAATCATTAATATCATTAATGAAAAGCACAGTGTCTGCTTTTAACAAACATATCTACTGGAGACAAAGATATATGTTAAATAATTATGCTACATTTCATAATTTAAATGACCCAATATTGTTCAATGGAGAGATCAGGAATGTTGGAAAACAGGCACACGAGAACTGGGCAGAAAGAGTGAGACTGCACCCAGTGTAAGAAGCAGTGTAAACAGAGGCAGGCGGCGCTAAAAATTACTGATGTATGTCTGAACGTCCTTGACTCGATCGAAACACCATCTCCAGGAATTTTGTCCCTTTTTTATTTGCATACTACATCCCATACCCTTTTCTCTACTCAGACACAGACCAAAAGTACAAAACACACCTACAGGCAAAAGACATTGGCTATTTTAAAAAGTGACTAAATGGGAAAGGAATCCAGAGATGCCGAGAGGAGCGGTAGGCAGGAGAAAGGGGATGTAGGAATTAAGAGTGTGAGGTCTACCAACTCCACACAAGCAAGGTAAACATCATGTACTGCAAACAAGTATATTTTTAACAAGCAAACATATGAATATTTTCCTACAAAGCTAGCATAACCTTAGAATTCTGCCATTCATGGCTAGAAAATTTCTTTATAGAACTGCTACTAGAATGACACTAAAAGTCAAAGAAAACAGCTCTCATACTCATCTATAATCTTGTTTGTTTTGTTTTTTGTTTTGTTTTGCTTTTTTAGTTTTTTTTCCGGTACCGGGGATCGAACTCATGACCTTGCACTTGCCGGTCAGGCGCTGTGCCGCTGAGCTAAACTCCCAGCCCCTCATCTATAATTTTAATGAGCAAGACAGAATGCTGGATAACCACCAGGTCTAGTGGTGCATGCCTGTAACCCCAGCACTCAGGAGGCTGAAGCAGGAGGATCACTGCAGGCCAAGATCAGTCTGGGTTACACAGTAAGTCTGAGACCAATTTAAACTACATGGGGAGACCCTGTTTTCGGGGTCAGGGGGAGGGAAGAATGCTGAATAATCCAATGAGAGAGAAATTAATCTGACAAGTATGTAATTCATTGCTTTTACGTTTAGATAATGTGTATTTTTGTTCAAAATTAAAATCTATACCTTAAGAGCAAACCTTTGCTTATTTAGGGTTTGGTATGGCTTAAGAGGACATTGTGAAAGAAATGCTAAAAGGGAAACATTCCCAAAATATGAGTGATTGCCACATCGCTAGAGTAAGGGAAAACTTCTCCCAGTGACTACGTTAAAGAGCCCAACAAAGCTTTGCTAGGGAAATAGTTCACAAGATTTGGAGCTCTGAGATTACAGAATATCACTTATTTTGTCTCTTTTAACCTAGAGATGATGAATATTACTTGCATAAATAAATAAATATAACCATTGGAAAACTGAAAGAAGTTAGTTTTCCAAATAATTTTAGCTGAAGAAAATCACCTGACATATAAAAAGTATCATTTGTGAGACATGAATTATCCTTTTTTACAGCTCTATATTTACTGAATTGTCTAAGGATAAAGGGGATTGGCCTACCAAAAACTGGCACATATAGATTACAGCATTGTTATTAGTCTGACAGTCTTAGAGTTATAGCCTAGCACTCTTAGTCATTAGTTGTGTAATTTTTGGTAATTATACCTCAAGCTAAGTTTTCTTAGTCATTCAGTGAACACTACTGTGTTCTCCTTCCCTCTTTCTCTCTGTCTCTCTCTCCACCCCCCTCTTCAAACAGGTGCCCAAACTTAGAGATATTATTGCTTCAGTATAATATCAACCATTTTATAAAGAAAAAATTTAAGATACTGTTAATCATGAGCTTGCCCAAAATTAATTATCACAGAACTTGTTATACTTCTTTTACACACTTTTGCTCTTTGAAGGAAAAAATACATAAGAAAATCAAAATAAAAAATAATACCCTTGGATACTAATACATGTTTTCTACATATCAAATAAATAATAATCATTAATTTACAGGAGATTGCCTCTGGCAGATTTACATTTAAAAATTTTGATCAGAAGGCCAAATTTTTATTTAAAAATCAGTATCAATGCAAACCAAATTTAAACATGTTATATTTTGAAAGCACTTAAATGTATACATGTGAATTATGTAAAAAATTTAGAAAACTTTATAAAATTGAATAGACATATTAAAAAGGATTTAAAATAAGTATTTGCCTATAGTCAGAGATCCTTTTCTATTTGGAGCAGTCTATGGCCATACCACCCTACATACACCCAATCTCATCTACTAGGAAAAAAAAAATTATGGATCATAAATGCTCTTACAACTAAAGTTCTTTAAGTTCTCCTTTCTTGCCCTGTTAACCTTTCTGTCACCTGTATTTGTATGAGGCGGCTATTGTAGGTAAGAAAAGAGACTGCAATTAACACTTAAATTATCACATAAGTCTGAGAAGGAAGATATAGCTTAGAGAACATCTTTATCTTGCTGTCATGGTTTGGGGTTTGTTTGCAAGGGGAACAATATAATACAGAACACATATTTTATAAGATTATTTATAATAATAACCCAAAGCAGCATATACCAGAGAGTGTAGGAAATCTGTCCACACACTACAGACCAAAGAATCCAGCTGAGGGCCTGGATCCCATGATAGTGTCCTGCAGGAGTCCAGCTGAAGACCTAGACCTCATAACATTACCTCCCACAAGTCCAACTGAAGCCCTGGAGCCCATAACAAAGTCTCATGCAGGCCTGTTTCACAGATCTGCATTAGGAAGGCCCAAAGGTCAGTGGTGGAATACAAAAAGTCTATGCCAGTGAGATGAAGGATCTGTGGCAGCAGCTGAGACATCTACACTGGAGCCAGGAAGCAATGTTCAAAGTAAAACCCAGAGCTTCCCTGAAAAGTACCACAGCCATCCTCAGCAACAGTGAGGTCCCGAGCTCCTCTAATGATCATGATAGCAAGTTTCCAGCAGGAAAGTCAACGTGATGAGCTTCTCAAGAAAACTGAGCAGTGTACCATCTTCCCCTGCAGATCCAGGAAGCAATGCTGAGAGGGAGGACCAGAGCTCCCCCATAATGAACCAAAGCCATTCTCAGTGCCAGCGAGGTCCTGAGCTCCTCAGAGGATGAAAACAGCCAAGTTCATCAGGAAAGCCAGCATGACGAGCTCCCCCAAGAGAACCAAAGGCTCCTTACAGCTTCTCTCCACTTCCAGCAGGCTCCCAACAGCTTCCATCAGCTCCCAACAGCCTGCTTCTTCTCCAGTTCTGCCTCTCATGCTGCTGACAACAATCCCCAGGTGGAACTCCCACACCCAGCACCACCCTTACTCAGTTCAGCTGAGTGTTACAAATTGACCACCAGTTGTCAATCCACCACAACTGCCATCATATTTTCACTGTTTAAGCTTGTCTATCAAATGATGGAACTGAAACACGTATCATGTAGTAACTAAAAAAATATTTGGCACTATTACATTTTTGTTTGTTTTCAGCCCAAGATGCTTTACTCACCGAACAGAGGAACTTGTTTCTTTTGCTCAGACGGTATATAACCAAAAGTAAACTTTAAGTTCAATTTCGGAACCTATTTGTAAAAACTAAGTACAGAGAAAATAATTCTTAAGATCAGTCCATTTCAAATTTTTAAGACCTGACTTTTTTGAGATAGAACAATTTTTGTGAATTGGAAAGCTTCCCTGAAGAACTTGCTCCATCACTATAGGACATTAGCATAGACTGAAAAGTGAGTAAGAGACCGGCTATTGTCAAAAGTGTATTACAGTAGCTACATCTTGGAATAGAAGAAGAGACGAAGCAGGGTTGTTGAGGAAAAAGGTGTAGTAGAGGGTGACAGTGTAAAAGTACTTGATAGGTCACATGGACAGTAGAACAATTGCTACCAAATAACTGAATTAGTTAACTGAAGAGTCAGCTGGGGAACAAGCAATCACTCCTCTGCTCTTCATCTGTACCTAGGAGCTGAATTAGTCTGTAGTATTATCTGGTAAGGGTCTCCTATCAACTACACAAAAGAGCAGATGTCAGAAAATATTATATATGAGCAAATTAGCATCTCATCTGTGTTTTGTAAGTAGAATTTTATTAAAACATTTTTGTTTATATTAGTCACCTTTCTGGTGGCTGGGACAGAATACTCAACACTCACAACTTCAGAGAGGTTTAATTTGGCTTATAGTTCCAGTAGGGTCAGTCCCTGGTAAGCCAGGACCAGAAAAGAAAGAGAAGTTGCTCAACTCATGGCAGCCAAGAGGCAGAGAGCACGGAGGAGCCACAGACAAGAACACACCCTTCCAGATCATGGACCCACCTCTTCCCACCAGGCCCCACCTCCAAACGTCACAGTCAGCCACGAACTCCTC